CATGTCTTTCAATACATTGCGGCTAAGAGGCTGTACTGACGATTCCCACTCCTACCCGCATGCACTGTTCGGTCTGTGTATACAGCTTGGGGATGAAACACAGACTGCGTCATGAAATATTCTGTTACACATGACATCTAACTCCAATCTTTTTCTCCACTATTCATGCACAAAGGCAAAAATGGTGCATAGCTCTGGTGCAGCTGTGCTTAGGAAAAGCCGACAGGTCTGGTGCTTCAGCAATTTCAATGACAAAAACAGCAGCAGTGGAAGTGAGGGAGGGGGAACCGGCGGTATAGGATGAGATTTTGCTGTGTTTCTTCGTGACCGTGATTTTGGTTACCGCTAGAGGGATGCTGAATTAACTATTTTTAACGTATAACTTGCTCCGTGGACAGCGGCTGGGTGGTGGGAGTCAATAAATAGTAACTGTTGTGGTGAAAGTGGCCACTTGATCTGTGCGTGAGGGAGTATCAAGTAGGGGCCGGTGACCAAAGCGGAAGGTGTCTGTCGTAGTGATTAGCGTGCGGTTGCACTTCGAAATACTGTGGGAGTGCAGACTGGTAGTTTGCACATGGAGACATTACTATGCAAAAATGGTTTGTACAACTTCTGTGAAAGCAAATTTCGTTTTTTAAGTGTGGTGCGAAATGTATTGCTTTCAGGGATCGGTTTGGTAGCCATTCGCCGGAAGAATATATGAACCTTCGCTTCTCCCACTTCGACAACAAAATCACGAAAGATGAAATAAAAGATATTCTTGAACGAGAATTTCGTCGATACGCGCCTTTCGAGGTAGCTGTTCGTGGTTGAACATTCCGCAGGGAGTTGCTCGTGAAAGTGTTACACTGTTTAGTGAATGGGGAAGAGGCCGGGTTCTGCTTTATTCGCAGCTTTTTTTCTCAGTTTGAAAAGAGTTGAGCGTTTCAGATAAAGATTGTACGTAATCCCGGTGATGAGCAACGTCTGGCCTATGTGAACTTCGAGCGCCCAGAAGCTGCTCGTACAATTCGGCACACGATGTTACCTCGACTGCAGAAATTGCTAGGAAAAAGACTTCATCTCGATCCGGCAGGAATCATCCGGGACCAGCAGGGCAAGTATATTCCTGACCGATATAACCGCGCACTGCAAGCTGAACGCGAGCGTGAACGAAGAGAGCCGACGAAAAGGTATCGTCCATGGATAGTGCGAAAACTCAGAAACCGTGGGTACTACAGACTCGGATTGTTATTGTTAACAGTTTCCCGATTGGTTTCGAACTTAATTGCCCCAGATCTGTCGATTATGATGTGACGGTGGTGTATCTAGCAGAGAGGGGATTCCTTTACTGAAAGGCACAAAAATCGGCCACAAGTAAAAAAGCTGCGAAAAGGGGGG